AAGAGAGAGGGGGCACACTGCAAGGTAACCTGTGGTTTTACCTGCCTGACCATGGTGAAGACATGAGGAAGTGGGATGGAAAACCCACCTCTGCCTTGGCAGCACAGGTTATGAGTTGAGAGGAAATATTAATCACCACAGAAAACTCTTCAAAGAAAAATGCCACTCAGGTTTCCACTGGGCAAGTCCTCAGGCAGAATTGAAGGGCTGATGTTACTTCTGACCTTCTGGAAGGGACCTCCAGGTCGTATTTACAAGAAGTGAGCAATGTGTAATGTGATCAGAGCCAGAGGGGCACTGGCTCCAGCCAGGTGTGGGAAAAGGACAGTGGGGTCTGTTGGACTGTGTGGATCCATGGCCTGGCACAGCAGAGCCACAGGAGCACATGGCTTTAGTTGACATGGGTGCACAATGTACCCTGTTGCCATCATGCAAGGGCAAGAATCAATCTCTGTTTCTGGGATGACAGGGCGATCCCAACAGGGACTATACTGAAAGCTGAAGTGCTCCTGACTGGGTATGAGTGGCAGAAAAACTCCATTGCCAGTGGCCTGGAGGCTCCGTGGATCCTTGGCATACATCCCCTCTGGAGAGGTATTTCAAGGACCCAAAAGTCATCACTGGGCTTTATGGGAGCTGCTGTGGAGACTGAAGAAATTAAGACAGCTGAATCCCTTGCTTGGTCTTTCAGAGGATCCTTCTGCTGTGAGGCTGCTCAGGGTTGAAGAACAGCAGGTACTGATGGCTCCCATTGGCAACATGGCACCTGCTGGGACTTCAGGACCCCATCCATGAGATGATGTGTGAACCTGGAGAGCTGGTGTGCTCAGCAAGATGTGCTCTCCCTTCAATAACCTCACATGGCCCCTACCTGAATCCTGTGAAAATGGACACTGACACTGGACTGTCACACCTAAATGAAATCACACCATCACTAAGTGCTGCCATGTTGGAACTTCAGTGTGAGCTGGAGTCCAAGGCAGCAAAATTTTGCCACCATAGACATTGCCAATGCATTCTTCTCCATTACTCTGTCAGCAGATTCCCAGTCCTGGTTTCCCTCTTTGGGCCCCCAGCCCAGAGGCTGCCCCATGTGGGGCCTTGGCCTCCCTGTGGCCCCCCGCCCATACAGGATGGCTTGGTGGCCACCTGCATTAGTGCCACCCTCAGCTCCAGATCCCTGGGTGGGGACTCATTCCATGAAGGGGTATAATGTCCCCTGTCCCATCAGCAGGGTCCCAAAAATGAAGTGGAAGAAGGATGCTCTTGCCCTGTCCTGTTTGCCATGCTTTTGGGGTTCCCACCCTGTATTCAGGGTCTTCTCCCCATCTATTTTTTGTCTCCCAAAGAAACACGGGGCCACTAGAAGGATGTCCCAGCTGCCCAGGAAGAGTCCAGGCACCTCCTGCCACACGGCACAGACACAGGGGGATGGGGGATAGGGTGGGAACATGGACACACAGGGGACATTGGGGACACATGGGAGACATGAGGACATTTTGGGGTACGTGGGGGGACAGGTGGGACATGAGGGACACTTAAAGGACTCTGGAACACGTGTGTACATGAGGGAGATTGGGGAACATGGGGACACAGAGTTGCAATGAGGGTACTGTGTCCATAGGGAGGGGCAGTGTTGGAAATGATGCAACTTTAACATTTTTAACTATTGTCAGGGGTTTTGTTCATCTTCGCCCCGGGGAAGGGAATGGAAGTTTCTTTTCAAGAAACTCAGTACTTCAGGCGAGGCCTGATGAGCTTGGCATCTCAATGGACTGGGAGCTGCCAGAGGATGCACAAGAAATAATTGACCATCAACGCCCAAACATCTTTCCTGGTGTGTCAGACACCTGGTCTGAGAAAAGATCAATAAGAAAACGAAGAATGAGGACCTAATAACATCGAAGGCAAAGAGATCAATAACCAATAGGAAACCAGATACAAAGAACTGTGTAACTTGTGGCCAATGAACATTGAACCAATGAATTTTTCTGGGTTTTGACTGTGTAAGTATGTGAAAAATCTAGTAAAGAGCCATGTGTGGATGAAATTATTTATGCTGCACATTCTGGCCAGAACAACATCCTGGCCAGAATAAAACAATTCTCTAACACTAAAATTGTTGGAGAGGATTTTTTTTCCACGTGACAGCGGGACAGTGCCTCCATGTCCCTCCATTTCCCCCCGCATCACCTGTGTGTCCTTTTCCCTCAGATGGATTTTATTGACAGCTACAACCCTCAGCTGACCCCCACTGGCCACAGGGAGGCAGTGGGAGCTACTGGGAGCAACTGGAACCATGGTGGGGGTACTGGGATCACAACTGGGATAACTAGGATTATACAAGGAACAACTGGAACCATGCTGGAGAGTGACAGGGAGTAAGGGGAATCATACTAGGGCTGAATGGGAGCAACTGGGACCATGCTAGGATCATACTGGTATCATAGTGGGAATGACTAGGATCATACAGGGAATGACTTGAACCCTATTGGAAGTGATTGGGAGCCACTGAGACCAGGGCCAGAAGGATCCAGCAAACTTCAGGCCTTGGTGCTGGGACAGCCCTGGAACAGATTGGTATTGGGGAACACATGGTATGGACAGGAAAACCAGGGCATTGGGAAAGGTAGGTCCTGCCTGACTCACCTGATTTCCTGCTGTGCCCAGGTGGCCCCGGTGGGTATTGGACATGTGTGGGTGTGTCTGCCTGAAGCTCAGCAAAGCCTTTGACACTGCCTCCATCTCCCTGCCTCTCCGGAGCACCTGCAGCTTCCGAGGTGCCTCTTGCTGGGAGAGACCTGGCTGGTGACCAGGCTAAGGAGGGGTGGGAATGGGGCTACAGCTAGCTGGGGCTGGGCCCTGCTGGGGTTTCCCAGGGCTCAGTGTTGGCGTCGGTCCTGTTTAACATCTTCATCTGTGGCTTGTACAAGGGGATTGAGGGCACCCTCAGGAGGTTCACAGATCACACCAGCTTCGGAGGAAGTGTGGATCTGCTGAAGGGTAGGAAGCTCTGGAGAGGGATCAGGACAGGCTGGATCAATGGGCCAAGGACAATGGTGTGAGGGCCAAAAAAGCCAAGTGCTGAGTCACAACAAACTCATGGAATACTCCAGGCTGGGAAAGGAATGGCTTAAGAGCTGCTCCACAGGGAGGAATTTGGGGCTGCTGGTTGGCAGCCAGCTGGATTTGAGCCAGTGTGTGCCCAGGCAGACAAGAAGGCTGGGATCAGCCATAGTGTGGCCAGCAGGACCAGGGCAGTGATTGGAGGCCACACCTTGAGTCCTGTGCCCCGTTCTGACTCCTCACTTCAAGAGAGACATTGACACTGAGGGGCTAGAGCACGTCCAGGAAAGGGAACAGAACTGGGGAAGGGGCTGGAGCACTAGGAGCGGCTGAGAGAGCTGCAAGGGCTCAGCCTGGAGAAAAGGAGGCTCAGGGGGCCCTTCTAGCTCTGCACAACTCCCTGGCAGGAGGGACCAGCCAGAAAGGTCAGGCTCTGCTTCCAGGGAACAGGGACAGGACAAGAGGAAATGGCCTGAAGTTGTGCCCGAGAGGTTCAGGTTAGACATCAGGAGGAATTTCTTCAAGAAAAAGGTTGTCAGGCATTGGAAGGGGCTGCCCAGGGAGGTTTGGAGTCCCTCCTGGAACACCATCCCTGGAGGTGTTCAAGGAACAACTAGATATAGCACTTAGTGTGATGGTCGAGTCATAAGGTGGAAGTTGGTCAGAGGTTGGACTCAATCTTGGAGGGAGTTTTCAACCACAGTGATTCTGTGAAATAGGTGTGTGGTGGCCCACTGGGAGGACTGGCAGGAACTGGAAGATCTAGGGGAACAACTGGGATGTCTAGTGTTAGAAACAGGGAAGTTTGATGGTGTCAAATGGGGGGGTATGATGGCCCACTGGGAGACCTGAGGGGCAACTGGGTTGCCTGGGTGGACAACTAGGGGCAACTGAGAGGCTTGATGGGGTCAAATGAGGGCTGTGGTGGCCCACCAGGAAAACTGGGGGTAAACTGGGAGGTCTGTGAGGCAATGCCCTCAAGAGAATCCAGAGCCCACCTGCGTCACCATGCGTTCTCTAATGCCCCCATCTGCTTCTCCCAATGGATTTCATGGACAGTTGTAAACCTTGACCCTCCTGCTGGGTATGGGAGGCACAGGGACTGGTACTGGGACCATGTTGGGACCAACTGAAGACACACTGGAAGCAAATGGAAGATGCTGGAACCATGTTGGGGGTACTGGGACCACAACTGGGGCAACTAGGATCACATAGGGGACAACTGGAACAATGCTGAGTTCGTACTGGGAGTGTCTGAAACCACACTGGGGGCAACTGGTATCATACTGGGAGTGACTGGGATCATAGTGGGATCATTCTAGAAGGGACAGGAATTGACTGGGACCATTGGAGATGTAACAGGGATTATACTGGAAGTCGTGATCATACTGGACTCACACTGGGAATGACTAGAAAGCACTAGAATCATATGGCAGGAAACTGGAATAATACTGGGATCATTCTGGAAGTAACTGGAACCATGCGGATGACCGGGAGCAATGGGAACCACAATGGGAGTGACTGCGATAACATTAGGACGGTAAGGCAGATGACCCGGGGAGCACCGAGGCGCCGGGTGCCGGGGGCGGGGCTATGCAGATTTACGCTAATGAGCCCGCAGCCGCCCCGGCACCATCGAGTCGCGGAGTCCGGCGGCGCCGAGCGGTCGCGCGCCCCGATTGGCGCACGGGAGGAAGTGACATCACGGGCGGTGCGGCGCGGCGCGAGGTTTGAATAGCGCGGCGGCGGCGGGTGATGGGCGTGACGTCACGGACGGGGAGCGGGAGGGGGAGGCTTGGGGGGACCCGGGAGTGGCTTGGGGGGCCCCAGACATCTGGGTCCGCCCTGATCCATTCTTCTCCGGCCGCCGGGTCCCCTCCAGCCTCTCCGCACGCCTGGACTCGCCCTTATCCCGCGGCGGACTCGGCCGGAGCATGCCCCGCCCGAAGCCCACTCCCCGACGGCGCGGCCGTCCCCCAACCCCCCCATCGTTCCGGCCGCGGGCACGCAGTGAGTGAGAGGCGGGGGACTCTCCTTGTGGACACCCCCTATGGACCTCCCACATCGAGCCCCCTTTTAGGCCCCCCTCCAGAGCACTCCTATGGACCTCACCATAGAGCTCCCCTTATGGACCCTCTCCCCCATTGTTGTCCCCTGCCCCCAGCCTGTGCCCTATATTCCCCTATACGCTTCCATCATCTATAGTCACCCCATACGCCCTCTCCCCTATAGGTCCCTATACCCTGTTCCCTATAACCCCCCATAGTCCCTGTCTCCTGTAGCTCCCCTATATCGGCCATCACTGTAGCTCCCTATTGATCCCTCATACCCGCAATGACCCTCCCCGACCTTATAGATGTCTTATAACCCTCCACAGCTCCTCCCTGTCCCCCCAGCCCCACTAGCCCCCCACAGTTCCCCTATAGCCTGTGTCCCCTCAGGCCCTATAGATCTCCATGTTCCCTCAGAGCCCCCATCTGTGTCCCTTAGGCCAAACAGATCCTCTAAAGTCCCCACAGATCCCCATTCAATGCACCCCCCAGGACGCCGCCCGGGTCAGCGGGTATTGCAGGAGATCCGCAGGTACCAGAGTACCACCCGCCTGCTGCTGCGCCCCGGCCCCTTCGCCCGGCTGGTGAGAACCCCTCACATCCCAAAATGAATACTCCTGCACCCTAAAATCCCCAGACACCCCGATTTCCCCCATGGAACCTCCCCAACATTCCCCATGGGCTCCCAAACTCCCCTGGGGCCACACAGATCATCTCAGATACCCATAAAATCTACTTTGGGACCCCCAAATCCCTCCAAGACCCCCCGAAATCCACTCCAAGATCTCCAACATTCTCTGGGTCTCCTGAACCATTCTGTATCCCCTCTTCTGAGATCCCCAAATCCATCCCAGGACACCCCAGATCAACTCTCTCCGACCCTGCAGCCTCCCCCAGAGCCTTAATATCTACCCTGGGACCTTTCAGCTCCCCACAGGACTCCCCCAAATATCCACTGGGGCCCTTCAAACAATCCCTAGGACCCCTTCAAATCCAACCCCCAAATCCACCCTGGGACCCCTGAAATCCAACCTGAAGCCCTCCAGCCTCCCCTTTGACCCCATCCCAAACACCCATTGGGACCCTCCAACCCCCTCCAGCTTCACCAAGTTACCCTCAGAATCCCAAATCACCCCCGGGGACTCCTCAGGACCACCCCCTTCCCTCAGGGCCCCCCCTCCTCAACCCTGTTCCAGCCCTTCCCATGTCCTTGTCCTCTCCATCCTCATGACATGGTGGACCTGTCCTCCCCCAGCATCCTTGCATATCCCCCCAATGTTCTTCTATATTTCCAGACATCCTTGTGTCCCGCCACCTTCAGAGGCTGCATGGATCAGGTGTTCCCTGTGCCACTCCCCCCGTGCTGGCACTGTCCCCCCTGTCCCATTGGGGTGTCTCCAGGAGAGTGTCCCTCTGTTCTTATGCCCAAGAGTGTTCCCAAGATGTTCCCAGAGTGGTGCTTCTCCCCCGCCTCCCACCTGGGGTCTTTGCAGTGTGTCCCTATCATGGTGTTCTCACATTCCCCACTCCCCAGTATATCCCCATCCTGTCGCCAGTGTTCCTGTCCCTGGGGTGTCCCCACAGTGTCCAGGGTGACAATAAGGGTGTCCCCAGGTCTCTGGGATGTCTCCAGGGCAGTGTCTCCATGTCTCCAGGGTGTTGCCAGGGTGGTGGCCCCAGCCCGGGGCCAAATGCTCCCATATCCCCTCCATGTTGTCCTGATGTCTCCCCACTCCCTGTGACCCCGATGCCCTCGTGTGCCCCTGTCCCTGCCGCAGGTCCGAGAGCTCTGCCTACTCTTCACCCGGGGAGTGGATTACCGCTGGCAGCGCATGGCCCTGCTGGCACTGCAGGAGGTAGGTAGGGTCGGGGGGCCCGGCCGTGATGGAGGGGGTCACAGGGGGGCTGGAGGGGTCCTATGGGTGCTGCGAGGGTGTCCAGAGGGCTTAGAGGGGTGGGGAGGGAACTGAGGGGGATCTCATGGGTGCTGAGAAGGTTTCCATGGGGGTTCTGTGGGTGCTGCACGGGGGTCTGTGGGTGCTGGAGATGTCTCTGGGGGGCTGGGGAGGTCCAGGAAGGTCTCTGGGTGCTTGAATGGGGCTGAGAGGTTTGTTGGGGGGTGTCTGATGGGAGCTGAGAGGTAGTCTAGGAGGGTCTCCATGGGCTGGTGGGGGTCTATGGCTTCTGGGATATGGTTCCATGGATGTTGAGAGGATCTCTGGGACACCTCTGGGTGCTGGGGTGGGTCCCTTTTTCCCGGGTTCTGTCAGGGAATGGGTCACTGGATGTTGGTTCCCCCTCACACATTTATGGGGGCAGGGTGTTTCAATTCCCCCAGTCTCCTGTGGGTGGGTTTGGAGGGACTCTGTCCCTGGGACTGTGTTCTGGGGGGGTCACTGCCCCCGGGGGGAACTGTGGGGGTTGGGGCATGCTGGGGCCCTTGGGGACCCCTCCTTAGTTTTTGGGACACAGGCAGCAGAGGCCTTCATTGTACGGCTACTGGAAGATGCATACCTGTGCTCGCTGCACGCCCGCCGAGTCACCCTGTTCCCCAAGGATCTGCAGCTGGCCCGGCGCTTGCGGGGACTTGAGGGGGGGGGCATCTGAATGGGGACCCCCCTGAGCCCCTGCACAGAGACTCGACCTCTGTACCAGGACCCCCACCCTGGGCTCTCCCCTGACAATCTCACACCTTTAATCTTAGTGGGGACCTTATGGGACGATCATGCTGAGACACCCCCCCCCCCCCATGGGGTCCCTCAAGCTGAGGCCCTCTCCTGACATGCCTAATCTGATTTGGGATCCACCTCCCCAAGATCCCCCATGTGGACCCACTCCACAGACTCCCCCCTATTGGATCCCCACCTCAGGATTCCCAACAACCCATTCAGGGACCCATCCCAGGGTGGAGGTCCCCTTCCTTAGTCCAGCACCCCTGAGATTATTGAGGACTCCTATCCATGATCCATCCCCCTGGGATCCCCTCACCAGAATGCCAGTCCCAGGGGAATCTACCCAGGAGCTCCACCCTATTGGGAACCCTCCCAGTTCTGCTGTACCCCAATAAATTAATAAATGTGACCCCTAGGTGCTGTTGCTGGGGAGGATGGAGGGGATTTGGGGTTGAGGGGGGAACTCTGGAGGGGAGGAGAACCCACAGGAAGGGGGGCTCTGGGATTATTTTGGGTGAGGGCACTTGGGATGGGGGCCAGGAAGGTCCTGAGGCCTAAGGGGTTCCAATTATAGTGGGGGGGGGGGGTTCGCCTAGGGGGCAGCCCTTGGGGGTTCGCTTTCTGAGCGGGCTTAGGGCTTTAGGGGCAGTGCTTAGAGGTAGTTTGAACGTGGGTAGGGCTGCCTGGGGGGGCGGGGCCTAGAAGCCCCCGGTTAATAGCGGTGAAGCCCGTGAGGGCGGCGCCCCCATCCATGGGCGCAGCTCTGGGGCTGGGCCTTCAACAGGGTCCCTTCTATGGGGCAGGGCTTGGGGCCACACTTGGGCTGGCAGTGTTGGCTGGGTTCTGGGCGCCCCCAGGCTGCTATTCTTGCTGCAGCCACTCTGGGCGCTGCTGAGCGGTGAGCGGCGGGGCCCGCGGGGGCGCTGCACCGGCAGGGGGCGCTGCAGCTCGGCCAGTGCTGCGCCTGCGCCTGAGGGCGCATGAGGGACCCCAGAACGGCCCGGGCCAACTCCAACCCTGCCCTGGGATCCTCAATCCCCTCCAATCTGCCCATCCCTGCCATCCCTGGGGTACCGTCTGAGCCCCCCAAACCTCAGGGACGCCAGATATTCCCCCTAAAATCCCGGCCCAGCCCCCGCCCACCTGGTTTGGGATACCCCCAGTTTTGGGCTCCCCTCAGCCCTCTTTTTTCCCCAGACATGCTGGTGCTGAGCTTGGTGGGGAATATTTTTGCTACTGAACCTTCAAAAAAGTTAACTCGAATTGTGGACGGGACAGAAAATTGCTTTGAGTGAAGCCCACTCTCTAACGACCCTATAAACAGCAGTACATCTGATGATGGGTAAATCACATTACAACCCCTAATTAAAGATGAAATCTTTAATGGTAATCAGGGTCTGCAAACTCTTATTAAAACAGTGCAGTACACAGCAGTACACAAAGTTCCAGGAAAAGTATAGCAGATTTATATGGGAATCAGAAATTGGATATGTTTGGAGAGTGCCTCTGGCAGGGGGTGATTGAGTCATTAGTCTGAGGCAGAGGCCCAAGGCTTCTGGGGGCCAAAAGTACGTTTAATGGTGGATGACCAGAGAAAACTCTGGTCTTTAACTCAGAGTGCTGCCTATTGGGCAGGAGATTGGATCAATTAGAGAGGAGTGATTTGCTTAGGGTTGAGACCCCAGCCATAGATCATGGGACAGAGAGTGTACAGAAGGCAGCATGTTTGCAACTGATGAATGACAGATGTTCCAGGACAGCCCTCACCTACATCACTGGTTATCCAAGTATGTGGCTGCCATGGTTAGAGTTTTGCTGGACGTGATGAAACACTGCAGCAGAATTACAGGATCAGTTGAGGTAAGTGTTAAACCCCACAGAGAGGAAGACAAGGGAAAAGACTCTTAATGTGGAGAGAGAGATCTTAGGGGGTAATTAACTATGGCAGAAGGATGGGTTTCACTGAACGATTAGTAACCAGAACAACAATCAGGAGATTGAAATGGCAGCAAGGAAGTGGACTGCCCAAAAGAGAGCAGCAGGGTCCCAGTGCCCAATGGAATGTAGTGTGAGCAAAAGGCTTGCAGCAAGAATTTCTCAGTAAGTGATAAATTATTCGCTGATGTTCTGGAGAATGTAGTGCCTGGAATGGAGTGCCTGAGGAAAAGGAAAGTTGCACTCCTTTGCCACAGGCAGGATAAAGATGTTGATGTGGGAGTTGGAACTCCTGAGATACCTATCAGTACTGTGGCCCCACAGGCTAATATTGTTAATTGGACTCTTAAAAACAACTTTCAACATCCTTAGTAACTGAGCTGGGGGCTGACAGCTGCAAACATTTAAGGAGGCTCACCAAAAATAAGACTGACACAGAAAGTGAGGTATCAAAGTCACCACTGGCTTCTGAGATGGAGACAGGAGAAAAACTGAGAATCCAAGTTGATAAACTTATGACTGAGAAAGATCATCCTAGGACCCTCCTTGCTTCAGCAGAGTGTAAGGAAAGACTATTATTTGAGAATTTGAATAGGGAAAATTATAGAAGAGAGAAACAAGATCTGAGAGCGAAAATAGGAAGAAAGCAGCTGAATTATCTCTGTTACTGAGAATTGAATAGTTGCAGAAAGAGTTCCAGGAAGAAAAGGATAAAATATGAAAACTGAAGGAAAAGGCAAAGGTGAAGCCAGCTACCAATTCACTCTGTATTGTACAGAGTTCGTTCAGGTGGCTGATTTGCAAAAGCATTCCAAGGACAAGCCAAATGAGACTGAAATCCAGCAAGTGGAACCCTATCAATACATACGTAGTAATGACCCATACATCCAGATTCCAGTTGGTTCTTGTCATTAATTAATTACATTTCTAATAGATACAGGAGCACAGCACTCAGTACTAATGAAGCAGGATGCCTAGAAGCTGGGTGTATGACCCAGACACCAAGAGTTAAAAATCACTGAAGTAAACGGAGCAAATGTTATCTGCCAAGCTGCTAAGATTAATTTATGGCTCCTGGATTAGAAGTAGATATTGGCTACTTGCTTTGCAATCAAAGATCACAATGAAAATATTTGGGGTTTTGACGTTCTGAATGATCAAATCTGTTGTCTGCCTGTTGGCAGTGAGTCAATGTTAATGTTTGAACATTAGTCCGATCCCTAAAAGGAGTCCAGAGACTGTGCTGACTCCATGTGCCTGAGGACTTGCCCAGTGGAAACTTGAGTGGCATTTTTCTTTGAAGAGTTTTCTCCCTGGGACACCCTTGTGAGACCCCTATGAGACCCTCATGAAACCCCCAAGAGACCCTTGTATGAGAAGCCTCAGGTGCCCTCCAGCTACCCCGCAGGACTCAGCAGAGGGCATAAGCCCCCAGGAAACGCAGGTAGAAGTAGTGGTACTCAAGGACAAAGGTGACAGTGACAGCAATGACACTGCAGAACCAGCCGAAGGCCCTGAACGGCAGCACAATGAGCCCATGCCCAGCAGATGACTTGTAGGGGTACACCACCTGACTGGGATCAAAAAACTGCCTCTCTCCCCAAAGATAAACCCCACAAAGCCAAACACCATCCAAATACCCCATATCCCTCCAAATGCCCCCATATTCCCCAAATTCAGCTGGGCACAGGGGTCTCACGTGGACCTCACAGTTATAAAGCACCTGATGGGGGTCGAAGAACTGATCCCTCCCCAAAAAAGTACGTCCCTGTGGTCAAATAACTGCCTCTGCATCCCAAAATATCCCCCAAATACCCACATACCTTTCCCAAACTGCACAAATACAGGTGGGCATGGGGGTCTCACCCGGGCCTTGGAGGTGAGCAGGGTGATGGGGGCAATGCTCTACAGGGTCAGGTACACAGAGAGCTGGATGGAGCTCCCCAGTCTGATGTGGCCCCTGAGAGCACCAACACTGTGAGTGCCCCATAGAGATGTCCAAACCTACCCCACAGACCTCCCCAAAGGCTCTATTGTTGCAGTGTGTTTTTTGTTAATGGTATGTTCTGTTATTGCCCAAGTTAATAGTTTAGTCCAAAATTATACCCTCCCACCCACCTTGTCAATCTATCCTGAATTAGGTGTCAATCCTGCTTTGTGCCAGCCCCCTGCTTGGAAATCCCCTTTGGAAATCCCCTAAAACTCCACCTCTCATTAGTCCATGTGACTCAGTTTTCCCCCTACCTCCCTCATTGGACAGTGCCCTTGTAAACCCTACCCTTTATCCTTCCTCAGAATTTCTCCCGTTTCCTAAGAGTTTGTACCTTCCCCTTGAACCTCCCCCATATTTAAGTTGTTCTACCGTTCCATTTTTGTCTTTTGCCCCCCGAATTCCCCCGAGTAATAAATCCTTTTTATCCTTTGCAAAAGACTTCCCCCTCCTCCTTGCCTCCTTCGAATGCAATCTGACAGCCAAAAAGGGCATGGAGCCATAGCTGGAGCTACATCTAAGGCCTCCTGTTCCCGGGGTGGAACTCACTCTGGGCACAGGACCGTAGTGGCAAAGTGAGTGCAGCTCTGGCCGTTGTGTCACTCTATAGGACCCCTGACTGCCCCACAGCTTCCCCTGTGCCCCCCAGCCACCTCCCCATATCCTCCGTGGTACCTATGATGGAAAAGTACTTGTGCAGCAGGATGGGCATGAGGAGGAAAATGAGGAAGCTGACGGGGGGGTCGGCTGGCATGGGGTCAAGGGGAGGCCTGGGCACCCCCTTTCATCACACTCCCCACAGGAGGGTCTGGGCATCCTCATAACTCCTGTACTCCCTCAAGCTCCCCATCACCTCCCATGACTTTAAAGTGCCCCAGTCCAGGCCAGTGCAGCCCAGTACAGCCCACTAGCACCCAGTACAGTCCAGTATAATTCAGTACAACTCAGCAGAGCCCAGTATAGACCAATATAGTCAAGTATAACCCAGTATGAGAGAGTATAACTTGGTAGAGCCCAGTATTTCCCCCAAAGGAACCAAAACCAGATGGTTCAGCCTGAGGAAGGGGAAGAAGAACAAAGAGCAGCACATGGCAGCAGGGGGATGGAGGAGGGGCTAAGGGGTGGTAAGAGGCTTGGGTGTCCTGGGGACCCCCCAGACTCCAGGGATCCGCACCGGGGGGGGGGGGGGGCGGGGGGGGGTGGAGTGACCCAGCTGTGTGGCCTCATACCTCTGTCACCTCCCCCCAGGGACCCCTAAATCTGTTCAGTCAGGGGCCTTCCCCGCCCATGTCACAGGGAGGTGGGTGGGGTAGTGGTGGCAAAAAGTGATAACTGAAACTTCCCTTTTCTAACCCCAAAATCACCCAAAGCGGAGGTAGTGGCACGGTGGGAACTTGATGGGCAGTGGGGGGTCCCCAAAATACCTGAG